AAGTCTCTGAAAACGGACAGCTCATAGCATGCAAAGTAGAGCTCTTTCCTCCACAACCCCAAACCTATGGGCTAGAATCCTGTCCCTCAAAGTGGCCTGCTTCACATCCCCTATCAGAACCCTGGAGGTATGTGGTGTGACCACCCAGCCGCCAAGCGCTCTCAGCAACGACTGCTACAGGTGGACTCAGTGGTGCAAGCCTCCAGGCTTGATTTTGTGCCCATTGGGGGACAAAGTTCCTCAGGCCATCAGGAGGATGGAGAGGGGGCAGAGATACCCATTTCGGCAGCAGATACCCAACAGAGACCTAGACAGCTAGCCTACTGGAAGCCCGTCCTCCCTGCAGAGCTGTGTACAATACGAGCAATTGCTGCTATTCCTCCCTAAGTGCTTTTGTTTCCCCTAATAATTCACGTTTCATCTCCACAATAAACATTGTTAGAACTTTTCCCGAGGCTTTAAATACACATAATTGCCCCTGGTGCCAGCAGAAGGTATTAATTCCACTTACGCATTCCATAAACTTTTAGGATAACGCAATTGATACCACAATCATGTTGGGACACCTCCTCTATTCTTCTGCCTTGCAAACCTCCGAGGGGCTGGAAAGTTTGCTCCGAATCCATTAGTGTTGACTCAGCCCCGTCCTCCCCAGGAATCCCTTGTGGAGCCCTTGAGCTTCCCATCCGCCTTCACGTGTTCCTAGGGCTGAGGCTGGTGGGAGGGTGGGTGGGGGCTTGCTCCCAGCACACACACACACACACACACACACACACACATACACACACACACACGGAGGCTAAGGGTAGTTGAGGTTACTCAGGGCCCTGTCCAAGCTATCCATTCATCCACGGTGCTCCAGGGAGCTAGCCAAGCCCTCCCACCTGGGTTTGCCTTCACCATTGGTCTCCCACAGCTGCCTCTCCAGCTGTTACTGTGCCACAGCCTGCCCATGCTAGACCAGGGTTACCATCCACAAGGGCTTTCTCCTGCCTGGCTGCAGTGCCCTGTCTCTAACTCTCGCCAACACTGAAGACAGCCACCTCTCCTGGCAAGGCAAAGTCAGCATGAAGGGGCTGAGTTGGAGCTGGTCAGCAGCTGGATCCCTGTCATCTGACTGCTTGGGTACGAGAAGCCCATGCCTCAACTCCCATAAGGTTCAAGGGCGGTCAGGAAACTGGGTCGAAAGCAACTGTTGTCATTCTTGGCCCATCCCCACCAGTCCACACAGCATCAGTGCCCCCTGAGCACCAAGCCTTTGCTCACAACTACAACGTTTCCCAGAGTCTGTCTCTATTCTGGTCCTGATTGGGTCTTAAAACTGTGCAAGCATGGGCCAGCACATCTGACAAACTTGGGTGTCTATGGGATGCCCCCCCACCCTGCACCAGCCCCAGTCTAAGAAGTCCAATGAGCAGCCTATCTGTCCTTTTCAAGGAGAGGACATCAAGAGACAGAGGAGAGGAGGAGCAGTCCAGGCACAGGCAGACTGGGGACCAGGACACAGGCAGTCAGCTCAGCTCTCACACCCTGCCTGCAGACGCCCACTCCCACAGCGACCCATGTGCCTGTCACTCATACCCAGCTTACAATCTCATACATGCCCAACCCAAAACTCTTTCCTGGCTGATCCACCTGCTTCATAGTCTTCTATGGGGAGCGGGGATGTTATAACCCAGGGAGACCAGCATATGTGTTCATATGCCTGACTACATTTGTTTACATACATGCACACCTATGTGTTCAAATGTGCATATATGTACACTCATGCCACCATGCATGTGGGGACTTATACACATGTATGTCCATTTGCATTTGTGTATGTGTACACACACAAGTGTGTGTGCACTTGTGCATCCACGCATGTGGGACCTTGTGCACATGTATGTTTGCACGTGTATGTGTATACGTATGTGTACATATGTCCTATACACATCCTTGTATTCACATAGGTATATGTACATGCACTACACAAATTCGTGTACCTATGTGTTCATGCATGTGGGGCCTTATGCATGCATGTGTTCATACATGATTCCATGTGCATATATACATTAACATGGATGCCTGTGTGCTTATGTGTATGGGATCTCATGTACAAATGTACATGTGTGTTTACATACAGGCAGGGCCATGAGCCCAGGACCCCAGACCCCTTATTGTGCAAGCAGATCTTCAGGCTGAGGGAAGCTGGTCGGGGCAGGCAGACCCCCCAGGCCTGGAGAGGCTCACAGTGGCCTCAGCAACACCAAAGCCAAAGGCCCCATTAACAGCTGTGGTCGCTTGGAGGCCAGCGAGGGTGTTTTTGCTGATCTGGGAAAAGAACGAAGGCAGCAGTCAATATGGAATTGTACTTGAGAAAAATGTGAATTATCTATCAGTTACCAGCCAGTGGCGTGGCGGGGGCCAAGTGTGGTTCAGTGCAGAGGCCTAGGCAGCAAGTCTGGGCAGTGCCCACACAGTTGGACCCCCAGAGCTGAGAGCTGCTGCCGCCCACCCCTTCCCTCGACAACGAGAAAAGCCCTTGGGTGTCCGCTCCCAGATCGCCAAGGTGCCAAAAATCTCATTATCAATGTCAGTCCCACCTCTACCCCCTGCATGATAGGGCTGGGAGGGGGCCGTGGTGAGCAATAGCATCCTCTCGCCAGAAGGCTTGACTCTGCTGCCCTGGCACCAGATGAAGGCTGGGTTAGGAGGCCGAGCATTCCCCTTGCCCCTGATGTGGCTGGCTAGTCAGGACTGTCTCCACCCGGAGCAACCACTCAGGAGGACAGTTTTGACAGGGCAGCTTTATGCTACATACCTCACAGGGGTGACAGAGACCCTAGGTTGGAGGGGGTAACCAACAGAGAGGGCAGTGCCTGTCTCTCCTGAGGACCAGCTCCAACCATCTGAGACACCCTGAGCCTGCAGACACGGCAGAGACCTTGCCAACATCCTCAGGCAAAGAGGAGGCAACCCCACAAGCAGCAGCCAGGGTTTTGAGAACTTCCCCCAGACATCGCCATCCACACAGACCTTGATGGCAGACTTCCCTTCACCTTCAGAGGGGAAGAAGGACTTGGGGATGTATTGACAGTACAGGAGCAGTGCTATGTCTCCTGGGCTTCCTGGAGCAGTGCTGTGTCTCCCGGTCACTAGAGGTATTCCTGTGTCTCCTGGGCTTCCTGGCCTGACCCCAGGTCATTTAGTAGGAGGGGCAGGAGGGTCTAGAGTTCCCCCTCCAGCTACAGGCAGTACAGGAAGACCAACTTCAGGAGACCCGAGCCGGATGGCTCCCTCATCTCCACTGTCCCAATACAGGTGTAAGAGCTGCTTACTATACCAGAACCATCTCAGACCCTCGCCACCTTTTGGTCAGCATGGAGCAATCATTTGCAGATGGGGCAATGGAGCACAAGGCCAGGGTCTGCAGTAACTGGCTGCTGGGGTCAGGAATCCCTGGACAAAGTGTCACAGTCATCCAGCCCCTCTTGGTCCACTGGAACCCATCAGAGCCCCAGGAGCTGGGTTGAGTCTTCCCATAAGGATGGGCCAGCAGCTGGGGAGCGCACCATGAGAAACAACCAGAAGCACCTGTAGGAAGGCCCAGACCCAGGCCAACTAGACCAACCATCTGTGGCCACCGGCAAGATCAGGCCAGACCACCAGCTCTGCCCAGCTCTCCAGCTCCTACAAAGCATGGGAAAGCCATGGCCAACAGGGCTCTGGGTGGCAGGGACAATCTTGGGACCTGTTTTTTTGTTTGTTTGTTTTGGTCTTTTTGAGACAAGGTCTCTGTGTATCCCCAACTGGCCTCGAACTCAGTATGTAGACCAGTCTGGCCTTGAACTTACAGAGATCCACCTGCCCCTGCCTTCCGAGTGCTGGGATTAAGGGCATATGCCACCATGCCCGGCTAGTACCTGGTTTTTAAAACAGATGAGCCTTGGGTAGGGGATTGCTCCATTTCAGCGTCCCCCAAGGAGGGCATGAGATAGACTCTGCACTACACAGACCTCCCCATCTCTAGCTCCAGTTGTTCCCTAGAGAGGGTGGATGATGAAGATGCCGCTCGGTGGGCTGGACCTGTATGTCCTGTAGCCCTGGACAGGGCAGGCTTTCCAATCCCATCTTTAGCTGGCCATGGAGACCTGGAAGATCCTGGGACTGCCCTTTCTACCCAATACCCTGTATGCCCTGTACGCCCTGCACTTGCAGGCCAGAGTCCCCAAAGCCTCACCAGGCACTTCCTGTAGCCTTTTTTCCCACAGCAGTCTAGACCTGGATGCTCGGTGGTTAGGAATGCTCATGGCAGTAGTGACCATGCCCCGAGCCCAGTGCCACACTTACTTACTAGCTGTATAACTCTGAGTAAGCTGCTTGCCCTCCTCATACCTCAGCTACCCTAGCTGTACAATGGGAACAAGCACAGACCCAACCATGGGCAAGTCAAAGCACTTAGCAGCAAGTGTGCACGTGGGATGTTGTCAACATTGGCCAATTCCCAGCCAGCCACAGGCCAGACTGTTCCTAGAGGCACAGGAGTGAGGACCCAAGCCCTCAGCTCTGTGCTTACACACCTGGCCATCCCATCCCAAGTCAATAATCAGAGATGTGAAGGCAAAGCCCAAACCCACAACCAGTAGTCAGCCACGCTGCGTGAAGGCAGCCCTCTGAGAGCCCCTGTCAGGGAGGAAGGATCATGACTCTCAGCAGAAGTAAGTGCCAGGCTCTGCTCAGAAAGGAAAAGCTGCCCCATCTCCCTGCCCCATGAGCCTCACTGGTTACAACACCTCTGACCTTTCTGGGACCCTGCCTCTGGGAGGCTGACTGGATCTGGACACACGTCCGAGGGGTGGGCACACCCACACTGCCCAGCCCCAGGACCCGCCTCCTACTCAATGCTCCTCCTGGCTCAGGCCAGGTGGAAACCCCTTGTGGACAGCGTGTGGACGCAGCCCTTGCCGGTGTCCCATCCTGCCACCCTCCAGATGCCCGCTGGCAACAGGACCACTCACCGTCCAGGTAGCTGACTTGGCTGTGCTCGACTGTTGGAAGGTGACCTCGAAGTGGTGGGGGCCAGGGTAGTCAGTGTTGGAGGGGATGACAGGAGCTGGAGACATGGTATCGAAGGTGGAGCTGGGCTGCGAGTAGGGAGAGTGGGTGGGCGCACTGGTGGCGTGCTCCGGGGTGTAGGGGCTGGCTGGGGCCGCGCGGCTGCCCATCTGGTCCATGGCGCTGCTGAACAAATTGAGCTGGGCCTGGCGCGGAAGGGGGAGGAGGGAGGGGAGAAACACTCGTTGGGCTGAGGGTGGAAGCCCCAGCTCTAGCTCCTGTCCCGTTCAGGGAGGTGTCTTGTTACAGGAGCCTTAAAGGGCCAGCCGGCTCCAAGTCATCCCAAATATTTCCTGGGGCCCCCACCCCATCCCAACAGGCCACTACTTGTGTTGGGATAAACTCACATATTCACCTCTCCTGCCTGCCCCTCTCCGTCTGCCTCCTGGCTGCCAGGGCTTCTGGGATCCACCCAGACACTTGCAAGGTGGACTAGGGCTTTGCAGACCTGGAGCAGAGCTGGCTAGTTGGGGAAGCTCTCAGCCTGACACCCGACATTCTCAGGGCAGCGGTGGGATGGGGGTCTCACTGCACTTTCCTAATCAAATCTCAAAGTCTAGACAGGCTGCCTGAGTTCTGGTGCCCTGGGGAGGTAAAATGCGACCCCCTAGGTCCAGCCCTTGAGGTGATGTTAGAGGTGGGGCTGCATATCAGTCCCCAAAGGTCCAGATGGCCTTCTTTAAGCTGTTTGCCTTATCTCCATTACAATGGCTTTATCTCCATTACAATGGCCTCCATTACAATGGCCTCCACTCCCACCAAGTTGGCCGGCTCCACCCCAGGATCCCTGCTGGTTCTCAGGGCTAGCCTAGGTAGTAGCCTAGCCTTTTCCCTGGAGCACACACCTGAGGAACTTGAACTCAGTGAGTCTCCATGGGGGTCACCATCCATGAGACCCCAGGATAGATGAGCCTCCCCCAGGAGCTTCAGGGAGGCCCCACCCACACCTCCATACCTTTGGTGTCTCAGCAGATCTGAGCTGGAGGACAATCCAGCCCAAATCTGGAGGCATCAAGCAGGAAGGGTTTGGGAGGCTAGCCCCCAATGGCTGATGCTGACCAGAGTGGGTCCCTAGTTGCAGGTGCTTAAACATTCCTTCTCTGTGCTGGGGAAACTTTCTGCAAAGTCAGTCCTCCATAGGGCCTGGGGGTGGGGGGGAAGCACGGCCTTTGTTCCCACTTCGCACTGAGGCTGTGAGGGGAAATAACTCCCTGGATGATGCAGCAGGCTAGCAGAGACTGGATGGATGGGGAAGACCTGGGATCTCAGACAGTGGGGGATAGGGCATCCCCTTTACCCTGTTCCCTTCTTCACAACTGGAACCCTGTCACATACGCCCCCTCCCACCAGTCTGCCTCCTCTAAGCCCTGAAATAATAAGTGTTCTTAGACAAGGAGGAAGGTCCAGACCCAGGGCCTGTGCTGGACAGCGCTGCACACCACGGCTCTCCCACCTGGACTATGGGGAAGCTGTGCTCAGCTTAACAACTTGTGATACCAACACCCCATGGATCCACTGTGCCTCCTTGACGAGGGTCCTAGACTTAGGCCAGAGTCCAGGCCAACACTAGGTGCTACACAGAGGATGGAGGGAGGGTCCTGCCCAGCATCAGCTCAGGGGACAATGGAGGGGATTGAGTGGAGACGGGACAGGTAGCAGGTTCTGGTGCTTACCACCGCTGTGGCCACTGCACCCAGGGTCTCTGAGGACCCGGGCAGGGATTTTCTTGGAGACGCCATCCCTGAGACACTGGGACAGTAGAGCTGAACCAATGTCTAAGCTCCACCCTCTCCCCATTGCTCAGGGTCCCACCATAAGGGCTTGGTTGCGAAGACCTTGTCGGGAGGACTCAGCCAAAGCTTCCACAGTATAGAACCATCCAGCTATCCACTGAGGGGCAGAGTGCTCTGCAGGAGAGACCCTGCCCCCTGCTCCACCACGGAGTCCTCCTTTTGTTCCTGGACAGGCTCCCACACCTCCTAACTTCCTATGCCACAGGACACCAGGGTCCCCCAACAGACAAGTGGACAAACAGGTTAGATATCACTGTCCACACGGTGTACTACTTATGATAACACAACAATGACGTGCATGGAATTTGGAACTTTGTGCTCAGCAGACACAAGATGGGGATCCCTGTAGGCGAATGCCCAAAAGAGGCACAGCCAGAGGCAAAGGCAGAACCAGGGGTGCTGGGCTGCAGGAAATAGAGGGGCTGAGGCAGAGCTTCTCTCTTGTGGGGTGGAAATGTCCTGGTAAGGGTTGCACACATCTGTCCACAGACTATAATGGCTGGACTGCAAAGTCTATGTGTTTCGTTTGCTTGCTTTATTTTTTTTTTTTTAATATTCTATTATCTGGGCTGGAGAGGTGGCTCAGCAGTTAAGAGCACTGACCGTTCTTGCATAAGACTCAGGTTCGAATCCCAGCACCCACATGGCGGCTAACAACTGTTCGTAACTCCAGTTCCAGGGGATCCGACAGCCTCTTCTGTCCTCTGTGGGCATTGAACAACACGGGTGCACTTACCTACATGCAGGAAATGTATGCATATACATTAAAAAAAATTCTATTACTTTTATTTTATGTATATGAGTGTAAGGCCTGCATGTAGGTGGGTGCACCCGTGTCCTGCAATGCCTGTGGAGGTCAGAGGAGGGCATTGGATCCTCTGGAACTGGAGTTAAGCATAGTTGTTAGCTGCCATGTGGGTGCTGGGAATTGAACCCAGGTCCTCTGCAAGAGCAGCCAGTGCTCTTAACTGCTGAGCCACCTCTCCAGCTCCGATTTATTACTTTTATATTTTAAGACAGGATCTCATGTAGCCCAAACTAGCCTGGAACTTACTATGTGGAAGGATGACCTTGAACTCGTGACCTTGCATCCATCTCCTGAATGCTGGGATTCTAGGCATACACCAACCATGCTCAGTTTATACAGTGCTCGGACTTGAACCCAGAAGCTCATGCATGCTAAACAAACACTCTACCACCCGAGGTCCATCTCCATCTAGACTGTATGTTTTAAACAGGTGAACTGTACGGTGTATAAATTATACTGTAATAAAGCTGTCCAAAATCAGGGAAGAATCTGACCCTAACCTCTTTCAGCTCCAAGGCTATTTGAGGGGGACATGGAATGTGACAGCTGCCCCTCTCAGAAAGAGGCAGTTCACAAGCCTCCCAATTTGTGAGGAGACCCCACCCCATCCCAATAGCTGACAACAGGCCCTTGGCAGAAAGGTCACCGTCCTATTCCCGCTGCCTACATAGGAGTTTGGTGACGGAAGACATAAGGGCAGAACTGTGATTGGCCCAGCAAAGACCCCACCCAAGCACCTTGCAGACTCCTCCACGGCCCAACAGGCTTCCAAGGCCTCTGACCCTAGTTCCACCTCCCATGTCCAAGCTTTGACCTTGGTCCTTGTCACACTTCCTTAGTTCAGAGGAGCTAGCCACAGTCCAAGAGATAAAGTCAGATACCATAGAGAGAAGGTCAAACACCACAGGGAGAAGGTCGGATGCCTCCTTCATAGTCCTGTGGCCACACACTAAGATAAAGCTATCTTGAGAGGAGCAAATTAGTAATTACCTTCACCTGTTCCTTCCAGCTGTTTTGTTTTGCAGCGATGGGGTTTGACACAGACCAGGGAAGGGCTCCACCACTGAGCCTCAGCTCTGGACCCCTTTTCACCTTATTAATGTGGATATGGAAGTTCAACACTCCATACGTGGTTCACGTTCTACGCCCGTCACTCAGTGTTCGTGAGGGATCAGGTGTAGCGCCCCCATGGCCACCCTTACAGACAAGGGCATAATATTTGTACAGAGCTTACATACCTTCTCCCGTACATGGTCAACCACTTAGATGGCTCACTATACCCAACACACTGCATGTGCTGTGCAGTCATTGGAATGCATTGCTCAAGAAATAAAGAAAAAGGAAGGTCTGAACATGCTCAGTATAAACGCAATTTCCCCCCAAATATTCTGGATCCCTATTCATTAGAGTTTATGGTTACAGAACCTACAGGCACAGGGATCCAACACACAAAGAGGATCCCACAGACAAAGTGGATCCCACAGACTCAGAAAATCCTATCGATAGAGGGATCCCACAGACAGACGCTGAGGAGCCCTTAGAGATAGAGGATCACACAGTACAAAAGATCCCATGGACACAGAATGTCACACAGATGATAAGGATCACACAGACAAAAGAATCCCACAGATACAAAGGATCCCACAAATAAGATCCAAGAGACTCAGGAAGTCTCGTAGATACAGGGATCCCACAGACACGGAGGATCCAACAGACACAGGACCTCACACAAGGGACCCCACTGGATCCCACTGATACAGAGGATCCCACAGACATGGAGGATCCAACAGACACAGGACCTCACACAAGGGACCCCACTGGATCCCACTGACTCAGGATCCCCCTACTGCGTCCCCTGAGTTTGGTGCACCAGTGTTCAGAATGGTTGCTTAAGATACTTCCTTTCAGAGCAAATGAGCAGAGGAATGAGGAATGAATAAACGCAATGGAAATGGGAACATGGCGACCACCGTCTGTAGTGGTCAGGACGACAGCTGTCTTGGCCGTTGGCTGCCCGGGAATGAGGAGAGATGAACTGAGATCATCTACCCTGTCTCTCCTGTCTTCCAGGGGAGCCCTGGCCCTCAGGGAAGGGCTTCCCTTGTTGTGTTTGGGATCTTGGCCAGGGCTCCAGGGCCTCTTCCTCCCTACCACCTTTGGTTCAACATCTACCTAGCAAAGAGCTATAGGAAGGGAGGTCAGGACAATGGCAGTGGGCAAAGGCAGCCCCCACCCTTGCCCTACCCCTGATGGGCGAGGAGCCCAGTCTTCCTTGCTCAGAAGCAGGGTACAGGCCCATGGCAGTGAGGTTCATATTTTAACTTGTCCACATTCTTCAATGATTAGAGGTGGGTGCCAAGGACTTAGTCACCAAACCAAAGGAACAGTGATAACATCTCTATGGAGCGCTCTATAAGAAGACCAACACACTTTCAGGAGGAGTCAGGCCTCTAGCACAGAGTACAGACACTGGCTGGCATGGCAAACCTAAGGCCCTCTCACAGAAGCCCGCCTCTAAAGACTGCCTGGGGCACTGGGCCGGCGG